GGGGCATAGGGATAACGTTCCATTGTCCCCCTCTGGGATCTTGTATCAAAGAGTCTCTGGGCTGGTGTTGGTTAAGGATAGACTAGCCAGGGCCTTCTGGTGTAGTTCCCCCCTCCCCACTCAGCATATGGGGCAGGGGGCAGTCGGGGGGCTGCCTTGTAAGGGGCATGCTCCCGTTGGTGGAGAGGCACGAGCAGAGAGCGTGCTTGGGGGGGGGGGGCATTGGTATTTGCACGAGGGGCAGGTGACCCGTCCCTGCAGGGGGCGTTGCAGCGCAGCTGGGTGGAGAGTTCTCCCTGCTGGTCAGGGCAGGACCCCAGGGGACATCCCAGCTAGCTTGGGGGGTGTCTCTTGGCTTCCCCCTGGGGTTGGGGGCTGGGCCGCAGAGAGGGCAGATGGTGAAGTTTCAGGCCACCTGGGCCCATTGGATTGTGCCATGTAAGCCAGGCCAGGACCCCTCCGCCGGAGCAGGGGGTGACGGGTCTCTCTCTCCTTTGCTCCAGGGCCCCGACAAAGCCCGCTCTCAGCTGCTGATCATTGACCGGAGCTTCGACCTGGTGTCCCCACTGCTGCACGAGCTCACCTACCAGGCCATGGCCTACAACCTGCTCAGCATTGAGAACAACACCTACAAGTAGGGCCTGGCTGCCAGCAGGGGGTGCCCCGCACTCCTCCTCAGGCGGGCTGGGGGGGTGGGACCCAGGCACCGGCACTGCTCCACAGCCCTTACGCTCGGGGGAGGGGTGCCGCAACCTGACCCCCTCTCCCCTCCCCTGCAGGTACGAGACGACGGGCATCAGCGACTCGCGGGAGAAGGAGGCGCTGCTGGATGAAGACGACGAACTCTGGGTGCAGCTACGCCACATACACATCACTGATGTCTCCAAGTGAGCGCGCTCAGCCCTGCCCCTGACATGCCCCTCTGTGCCCCGTCCATCACCCCGGATATGCCCCTCCGTGCCCCACCCAGGGCCGGGACCCATCCCCACACAGACACACCACTCCGTGCCCCACCCAATGCCTAGTGCCGGGACCCGCTACACTCCCTCTTCGGCACAGCTCTCCCCTCCCCGCCCAGTGCCTCCACCCCCTACCCCCACTTTGGCAAAGCCCTCCCCTCCCCACCCACTGCCAGGACTTCCCCCCTCGGACACACCTCTCCCACTCAGTGCCAGGACAGCCCACCCCATTGGCACACCCCTCCCCCTTTTTTCCAGTGCCGGGACTTCCCCCATCCTCCCCTTCAGATACACCCCTCCCCACTCTGGGGCTCCCTCAGACACACCCCTCCCCTCCCCTTCCCACCCAGTGCTGGAACCCCACTCCCCCTTGGATACACTCCTCTCCCACCCAGTGCAGGGACAGCCCCCGCCCCCGCAACACACCCCTCTCTTGCTCAGTGCCAGGACTCCCCCTCCCCCTCCCACCCACTGCTGGGGCCCGTCCCTCAGACATGCTCCTCTCTGAGCGCTGAGACCCCCTGGACCCAGCCTCTCTCCCCAAAGGACCTCCAGAGCAACTGTCTGCATCTCCTCTCAGGGATCCCCCTGGATACTGTCTTCCCCTGATCCCAGGATCTCCCCATGCACCTCACAGCCCCCTTGAGTGAGTCCCTCGCCGACCTCCTGCTGGGCCTGCCTCTGTCCCCAGCCCCCCCACCCCCCGCAGGGTGCCAGGAGCCCCCAGAGGTGCACTGAACTCTCTGCCTTGGGGTAACTTGGGAAGAGACACCCCCCACCCCCACATGCCCCATCTGAGGCTGTCGAGGCAGAGAACCCTGGTTCCTGTGGGGCAGGGGCTCCATCCCCTGTAGCATAGGACAGGGCACCCCCTACCTCTAAGGCAGTGCCTGGCTCCAGCCTGACCCCTCTCCCGGCTGCAGGAAGGTGACTGAGCTGCTGCACACCTTCTGTGAGAGCAAGAGGCTGACCACGGACAAGGTGCGATGGAGGCTGGGGGGGGGGGGAGCGATTGGGGAATCCAGGACATGGGGACCCATCCCACTGCCACTGATGGGGAGGAGAGGCTGCCCTGCTGCCCTAAGAGGGGTTGGCGTGGGGAGGGGGGGTGTCCTATTGCTCCCAGGGTTTGCCTGTAAAGGGCTAAGATGTGTATGTGGAGCCCCCTGCACTCCAGCCAGAGCTCTGGAGCTCCCCACGGTGGGGGAGGGTGGAGGCCCATGGGGCGGGGTCAGACAGCAGGATCGGGGCCACGCATGGAGAGCTGCAGCGAGCCAACGCTGGCATCTCCCCAGCCCGCTGCCGCTTTACATCTCGAGGGTTGCTCGGGTTGCGGGGCTCCCGGCTCGTTCCAGCTGGCCTGGGAAGAGCAGGTCTAATCCAAGCAGCAGCCATGCCAGGACTGTGCCACCCGATTTTGAATATGGCGTGAGTGACCCACCCTGGCCCTGGCACACGTGGCTGGGCTGCTGCGGCTGTCCCCAGGTGAGGCCTCTGCCCTGCAGGGGGCTCCGGACACTGGGAGGGGCCAGGATCTCACCACCACCTGCCCCCAGGCCAACATCAAGGACCTGTCCCAGATCCTGAAGAAGATGCCCGAGTACCAGAAAGAGCTGAACAAGGTAATGGGGCTGGGGCTGTTAGTGGGCGGGGGGCAGGGCATTCAGTGGGGCTGATGGGGGCGCAGGGTGCTCTGTGAGGTTGGTGAGGGACAGTAGGGACTCTCAGGGAGGCAGGGCACTCTGGGGGGGCTCTGTCCAGGTCTAGGCAGGAGCCCTGCCCCAGTGATGGGACTGCCTTGCTGCCTGATGAGAGCTGCTGACCTGTGCCTTCGGGCAGAGCCATTTTCCTCCCAGGTGCCCTCCTGATCCTCCCCTCCAGCTGCCTCACTCCATCCCAGAGGTGGCTGCACGTCAGTGCTGGGCAAAACAATCCCTATATACTCGGCTTATACAGCCGATTGGGGTTGCTCCTTTGGCCAAGGGGTCCTCCTTGGGGGCTGCGGAGGTGCGGGTGCCCTGGACCAGCTGGTGATGCGGTGCCACAGTAAACTCCCCCGTGCCCCGGACTCTCCCTGCAGTACTCCATGCACCTGAACCTGCCCGAGGACTGCATGTGGCACTTCAAAGGGACGGTGGAGAAGCTGTGCAGCGTGGAGCAGGTGGGTCTGTGGGCAGAGCCTGGCTGGGGGGCAGAGTCTGGCTTATGAACTCAGCCCGGAGAGAGGGGTCTCAGACCCACAGGCTCGCTGGAGCCAGGGCCAGCCCCCCCATGCAGCACTGGGGGTGCAGAAGGGGGATATGGGGCTTGTGTTACTCCCAGGGGGCCCATTACTCACCCCAGGGGGAGCTGACCCCAGGGAGGAGGGGGCCCTGGCACAGGGGGTAGGCAAGCTGTGGTCCATGGGGCCGTCTCATCCCCCATCCCGCTGTGGGGGCGGGAGGAAGCGGAGCGGCCTGACCTGGGCCTTCTATGTGCACCCCCCACCCCCCGAAGACCTGGCCACGGGGACGGACATGGACGGGGAGAAGATCAAGGACCCCATGAAGATCATCGTGCCCGTCCTGCTGGACCCCAGCGTGCAGGCCTACGACAAGATCCGCATCATCCTGCTCTACATCTTCCTGAAGAACGGTAACGCCACAGGCCTGCAGGGGGCAGCACTGGGGGGTCTGCTGCTGCAGGGGGCGCTCCTGGAGGCGGGACCCAGGCCTGTGGGGCAATAGCACCGCTCAGACTGGCACATCCCCCAGCCATGCAGGGCGCCTCCCAGCCAGCCGCTTCCCGGGGCCTGTGTCCAGCCTGGCTCTACGGCCCTGTCTCTCCTCTGCCCACCTCTCGGTGCCTGCGAGCCAGACAGTGTGCCGCGCCCACGCTCCGCACTGCTCCCTGGGGTCAGACCTGGCGGCCTTTGCTCCCCGCTGCTGCCTTCCGAGCAGTGTCCGCCCTCCACGCTCCCCCCAGCCCGTTCTCTGCAGGGAGGGGAAATAGAGACACACACCTGGAGCGGCCCCTCAGCCCGTTCTCTGTAGGGAGGGGGGATGGAGATGCACACCCCAAGCGGCGCGCCTCCCGCCCCGCTCCGTTCTCGCAGGAAGGGGGATGGAGACGCACACCTGGAGCAGCCCCCGGCCCGTTCTCTGCAGGCTGTTCAGATACCATGTTCTGTCTCTGAGCCCCCTGCGACCAGTTCCCTGCCCACCCCTTGTGTCATCCCTGTACCAGCTCCCTGCTGCATCCAGCCCCTTCCCCCAGCTCTCCAGGGCCTGGGGAACCTCCCTGACCCTGACACTTGGCACAGACCCTCTTCCCCCATCGGTTCCTGCCCCATGCTGGCTCGGTGGGGCAGGGCCCTGCTCTGGGGCCCTTCCTGTAACCCTGCTCAGGCATTGCCCTACGCCCATTGCCCAGGCCAGGGTGCCCTCATGTGGCTCCTCTGGCTGTCCAGTTTCCTGGCCAGGGGGAGCTGTGGAGTTGCCAGGCCTCCCCCTCTGCACTAAGCAGCAGTAAATGGTTTTGGGGGGGCTGGAGGGGGAGGGCACATGTTGCACCTGACTGGCCACAGGAGGGGGAGCCCAGATTAGGGGGAGGGGGACTCCCACTGCACTGCCAGGGGGAACTAGAGAGACCCCTGCCCGCAGCACCTGAGGTAACCTGTGGAGGGAGGAGCAGCAAGAACCTAAATTCGATCATTGACTATGTAGGGTCCAGCGGGTTAGAGCGGATGGTGGGAGCCAGGTCTCCTGGGTTCTAGCCTCAGCCCTGGGAGGGCAGTGGCGTCCAGTGGGATAGAGCTGGGGGGCTGGGAGCCAGGACTCTTGGGTTTACCCCCAGCTCTGAGAGGGGTGGGAAGAGCAGGATCTCAGGATTTGATCGGGGAACTACGACTCCTGGGACCACGGACTGAATGTGCCTGGGCTGTGTTATACCAACAAAAACTAGCAGGATCTTATTAAAGGGGACAAGATAAAGATGCCACATTTATTATGATAACAATTTGATTTATGACCAATAACTAATATCTTAATCCTTATACACACACATTATACCTAATACCTACACACACACACACACACACACATCCATCAGATGTTCTGCAGCTGCTGCATAGTTACCAGTCCTGCTTGAGTCTGTGGCTTGAGTTTGCAGCTTGGGTTCATAACTTGTGGCGGCTAACTGGCCAGGAAAGCCGGGCACAAGGACGAGCTGGGTCTCTGTTGGGCATGCACAGATGCCCTTCCATGTTGGCAGCAGAATGTTACCCTCCTCCAAAGTTTTCCATCTCACCCATCCTTTTTGTAGGCTTTAGTTTGAACCCAGAGTCTATAGGTCTTGCTGTGTCACGCTGCCTCTGGGTTTGGTGATTGATCACCCGTCAATTGCAGACATGACTTTCAGCCTCGGACCGGGCTTTGATCTTCCTTCTATTGTACCTTTTCTTTTTAGGGTGGATTCTTCTTACTTTGTTAGGGCTCTTGTCTGCATCCAGGGCCGGCTCCAGGCACCAGCTTAACAAGCAGGTGCTTGGGGCGGCCAAGGGAGAGGGGCAGCACCTGCGACAATTCGGGGGCGGCAGGTCCCTCACTCCCTCTAGGAGCGAAGGACCTGCCGCTGAACTGTCGCCGCCCGATCGGGCCTTTTTTTTTTTTATTGCCCGCTGCTGCCCTCTCGTCGCCTTTTTTTTTTTTTGGTGCTTGGGGCGGCAGAAATGCTGGAGCCAGCCCTGTCTGTATCTTCAACCGTTGGTGTTTGAACTCTGTTTAGTCAGGACAGGCTGGGGCTGGAGGTTGATTCCATCATCCATACATACCTAATTCACACATCTAAACTAAACTAATAAGATTACAGCAGGGTTTGCAAAAATGAAGGTTGCAGCAAGCCCTTACAAAATGGAGTAAGAGTTTTAAAATGGGGTTTGAATTACAATATGGCAAATAGTGAACAGAAGTTACAATATAGACAAGTATAATGGATGGCAAACAGTGAACAGAAGTTACACTGTAGGCAAGTGTAATAAATGGTGAACAGAAGTTACAATACTGAAACAGTGCAAGTCTCCGTGATTTAAGCAGGAATTGGATTGATAGTGAAACTTACAAAGGCAGCTGACTGAACAGCTATGGCTCTTAACAAGCATCTTAATTGTTAATTAGCCAGTTATTGCGGTAACCGGTTTTATGAATGAATATTGTTTCATTCATAAAACTTTACTTATGAAGTTACATTAATAAAGTAAACAATTAAAAACAATTTCATTCATCAGTCCTACAGCTGTGGGTGCGTCCCAGGGGTGCTGGCGCTGACCTGTCTCTCCCCATGCAGGTGTGGGTGAGGAGAACCTCACCAAGCTGATCCAGCATGCCAACATCCAGCAGCAGAGCAACATCATCCACAACATGCAGTTCCTGGGCACCTCCCTCACGCCTGGGGTAAGGGACTGGGGCCAGGAGCCAGCAGCTGTAACCATGGCAGGGGATCCCCGGCCATCCTGGGGGTGCCCCCCATGGCAGTGACCTACTCCCAGCACAGAGGTGGCCTCTGCCCCATACAGTGGGGTGACGCCCTCCCCATATGAGGGTGACCCCCGAGTTACTCCCCATCGGGGGTGACCTCTTCTGCCCTGCAGAGGACCCTGGGGGTCAGGACCTCAGATTGCCAGGGAGCTGGTGATCACTGCATGGGGTGGCCATGCGGCGAATGGGGGGAAGCGTCTCTGTTCTCCCATCAGTCTCTCTCCCCTCCTCTCTCTCTCTCTCCCTCGCTCAGTGATCCATTCTGTTATTTTCTCTGCCTCTCCCCTGCCAGCCCGGCTGGAGCGACTCAGGTAGGCCGCACTCTCCCTGTCTGCCCCTGTTCCCACCCCGCACCCCCTCCCTGCTGCTTTTCACCCCCTCTCCCTTCCTCCCTCAGAGCGGGCAGCTGCGACCCAAGAGGAAGGTGTGGCTGGAGTCCACCTACCCACTCTCCCGCTGGACCCCCAGGCTCAAGGACGTCATGGAGGTACCCGGCCGTCTGCTTCCTGGCTTTGGGGGTGGGGGTCACACCTGGCAGGCTGGGCCCAAGGGGGAGGGGTTAGTTTGGGGTCAGGAAGATAATGGAGCAAGTAATTAAGGAAATCATCTGCAAACACTTGGAAGGTGGTAATGTGATAGGGAACAGCCAGCATGGATTTGTAAAGAACAAATCATGTCAAACCAATCTGATAGCTTTCTTCGATAGGATAACGAGTCTTGTGGATAAGGGAGAAGCTGTGGATGTGGTATACCTAGACTTTAGTAAGGCATTTGATACGGTCTCGCATGATATTCTTATCGA